GCGTAGGGCTGGGCTGGTTGTGGCCGTGGCTCTCCGACGCTGACAACTCCTTCGAAGGAGTCACAAGTCTGGACGACGGTGCGCGTCCACTGTTGATGCTACTGTTGAGCCCGCGAGCCGCCGCATGCGTTGCGTGGGTGCGCTTCGGCGTTGAACACAGTCCCGATGCCGTCCGCTGTGTCACGACAGGCACCTCCTCCTTTGGCTCTGCGGGCTGTTGCGGTGGCTGAAAGACCGTTCGAGGAATGCGCCGCAAGGCACTGTGCGCATGCACGACGGAGGGCGGCTCCAGCCTCGGCAGAGGATGCGAGGGGGGCAGCAGGGGGGTCTGCCGCGGTGCCGCTACCGCGGCTTGCGGGGCAGCCGTGCCCGGGACAGTCGTGCCCGGGACAGTCGTGTCCGGGACAGTCTTGCCCGGGACAATCGTGTCCGGCGCAGTGACAGAAGGATCGGTCTGCTCGCTGCCCAGATTCTCTTTGACGGGCGCGGGCGCGTCGGCCGCCGGTCTGGTGCGTGTTTTTTTAATGCTCTTTCCACGGCTCGAGCGGGGTGTGGCGAGTGACGTCTTTGCGCCACCCCGCGGCGTGAACAGCTGCGTGGCGGGCGCCGGCTTCGATGACTCACGAGCAGCCGTCTCCCGCCTCCGCCCCACCTCGGACGAGAGCGAACGGTACGGCATCCTTCCGCCGATTGAGGTGCCGTGCGACTGCAGCAGGGCGCCGTCCAGCGACAGGCGGCGTGGGCGGCTCGGGTGCTGGGAGCGCTGCGCGGCGCACTTGGCGATCTCCACAATCTCCTGCGCCGTGCGCAGCACCTCGTGGCAGTCCTGCTGGAAGCCGCAAATTTCACTGGCGAGGCGCGGGTTTTCGCCAAGCTCTGGCAGCAGGCCTTCCAGCTTATCGAGGTATCCCACCGACTGGATCTGGCACTCGCGGGCGTGCTCCAGCACCTCCGCATCAACGAAGAGGTTTCGCCACGACCCCGCGAGGTTCTCCTGGAGCTTTGCCCCCTCCCGCAGCACAAACGCACGCACCCGAAGACGGAGTGCGTCACAGACGTTGGCCGCCATAACGTCCCGCGCCGCCGCGTGCGGGTGGCGTCCACGTCGTTGGGGCTTCGTCAACTCCGCCATCGCAGGTTCCCGCCTGCGGCCCGTCCGCGGCGACTGCGTGCGGGCGTGAACGTCGAGCAGCCGCCGCGACTGCGACGCCCCTCGTGCGGTGCGTGGGGTGAAGTTAAAGATACGCGCGTCCCACGTCATCGCGGTGTCGGGGAGTTCGTTGCCGCCCGTGGCGTGTTCGGCAGGGGCGGGCCACGCCACCTCGCAGACGATGAAGCGGTTGGTGAGCAGCGAGTGGAAGAGGCTGCGCTCGGCGATAATGGGCAGCGCGAGGCCCGCGCGGTCGGTCTCCTCCAAGAAGCTCTGAAGTGAGCCCAGGGCGGGGACGTCGTTCAGCCGCATCACCGCCTCCGTGTCGGCGTCCACCACAAGGTAGTACTTCACCGCAGCGGAATTCGCCGCCTCCTCCTTCTTCCTCGCGTCCGGCGCGGGGTCGCCGTGCTCCGCGGCGCGGGACGCTCCGCCATCCTCGTCGCAGCCCTCGGCGGCGGCGGCGGCCTCGGCCGTGATGGTCACGACATCCTCCAAGTGAAGCACCTCCCCACCGCAGGCCAGCAGGGGCTGCTTGTAGCGGAGCTCCACCGCGTTCGTCACAAAAAAGAACCTCTTCCCCTTAAACAACGCGTCGCGGGAGCGCTTCCGTGCGGCGGTGGTGGGGATCGGGTACAAAGGAAACGGGCAGACGTCGGACTCCGGCCGGAGGTAAAACGCCGCGTGCACGGCCGTGGCACCGTGCCACTGAATCGGCACCTCAAAGCGGACTGGTGGGGGCAGGACGGTGAGCGGGGAGGAGGCGCCCTGCGCGAGTGCGGCGAACCACTCGAAGACGTACTTCGGCTGCACGATGGAGTAGCCGCAGGCGAGCGCCATGAGGCACCACGGGTCGTCGTTGATGGCATCCGCGCAGTGCAGCCTGCCGATTGGCTGCGGCATGTCGAGCAGCGGCGTGGGTCCGCGCGGCCCCGTCGTCGTGGCACCTAGGCGATAGTACATCAGCTCCAGTTCCCGCACGTAGTCGGCGCTGAAGGTGCTGCGGGCGATGCTCACGACGAGCGGGCGAAAGCGCAGGCGCAGGCAAATGTGGGCGCCAAACTGCAGCTGCGCGCCGTCGGTGAGGTAGGCCGGGTGCTCCAGCACCGCCGTTTCATTCGCCAGGACGTCGCCGCCGTCACGGAGGTTCACTACGCGCAGCACGAGTGGGTCCTCCCCGTGCAGTTGACTCGGCGGCATCTCCGCCTCCGCCTCCGCGGGGTCGTCGTGCTCCCACGCCTGCTTGCGTGGGCCGTCCAGCTTGGGGTGGCTCGGCGACACCACCCCGTTCATCTCCGCCTGCGCGTCGTTGAGAAAGCTGCCCACAACCTCGCCGCCGTTGTCGCCCGCGTCGTCGGGCTCCCCGTGGCGAAGCAGCCGCTTCTGCTGCAGCCGCAGCGCCTGGCTCTCACGCATCACCGTCAGCGAGGCGTGCCGCAGCGCAATGCCGCCGTGGTCCAGGACGATGTCGACGCCGCGGTCCCTGCCCACGATGTACGGCTCCCGGACGACAAGCGAGTAGTACGGCGCGCTACCGAGCGGGCGGCCGCTCGCAAACTCCAAGGAAAACATATGTGCGACAAGCCCGTGGCAAAACAGGCCTCACCCAAATCCTCGCTCTCCGCAAACACACACACACACACACCTCTCTCAGTCAAAGAAGCGAAAAGTACCAAATAAATTCCTACCCCGATGAAGACACTAATCTATTCTCCGGCAAGCACACAGAAAGAGTGAAGTGGAGAAGAGCATGTGGGGAGGGAGGGGGGAGGGGGCGCTTGAAGGAGGAGCAGGCAGAGGCAGAGAAGAACTGAAAGCGAGAGAAAGAAGAAAAATAGTAACAATAGTAATATTATAATAACACATCTCGCCACACGACGATACGCACGCGTGAGTGCACGGAAGTGCATGCAAGTCAGAACCCGCCTTTGCTCCTCGCCGCCACAGTTCCTTGCAGCCGTCCGCATCCCCGTGGTGCCGCCCGCACGCGCACACATACACATACGCACTCTTCCCAGTGGAGCTATCAGGGTGAAGCCAATTCCCTCCTTCCTTCTGAGTGGGGGTGGGGAGTGCTCTCTATTCGCTTCGCCCCTCAGCGGCTCCTTCCTCCTTGGACGCCATCTCCCGTCCCGCGGAAGAAGAGACGCGCAAAAATAAATAAACAAATGAAAATGCAAGCGCGACGAAGTTTGGCGTCCGCACCCGCGTGCAACAAGGCGCGCACGTGTGGCGACGGAGGGAAGGAGCCCTCGTGTCGCTCAACTGGAGGGTGTCGCGTCTGCGGCCATCGTGAGCGGCGGCGTCGGCTCCTGCTGATGCTGCCGCTTTATCTCCTTCAGCCGCTGCAGCAGCTCCTTCATGCGGTTAAACACAGGGGACTTGAACTTGCGCGTGGCATCCGCCGCGAGCTCATTCAGCCGTTGTTTCTGCAGCGGCACCGTCGCGTACGCCTCCACGCACTCCTTCATGGCGGCAACGTAACTCGACGCCGCCGCCGCCGCGCCACTCTCGGCCGCCACGCACGCCTCACTCGACTCAACGCTCGTCACAATTTCTCGCATCTCCCCCAGCGCCTTGGCGAAGGCCTCTTTTGCCGCCAGCAGCGCGGCCTCCGCGGCAGACGACGCCTCTTCCCCCTCCTGTCTGCCGCATCTCTGCTGCAGTCGCAGCAGGCGGTCGAGGTGCTTCTGCGAGAGGTCAATGAGCCGCTTGAAGTTGTCCAGCATCACCCGCAGCGCCTCAATCTCGCGATAGACGCTGCCGTAGTCGCGGTTGCCGGATTCGGCCGGGGGCGCCTCGCCGCCGTCGGCGTACACCGTCAGCCCGGCCGGGATGTACCCCCACTTCATGGCGCTAATCGGGAGGTCCGCCAGCGCGTCGCTCGGCGTGTCGTGGTGTTGTGCGGCGGGCAGCGGCGCCTCGCCTTGCCGATCCCGCTGCCGCGCCTGAGCCGTGAACTCCTGCTCCGACTCCCGCAGTTCGTTGGCCATTTGCGTGGCCGCCATGATCTTCGGGTCCTCCGGCGGAAGCTCGGAGTTCACGCGCGCGAGCCGCGTGGCACTGTAGTTTGTGAAGCAGACGTACTGGTATGTCAGGTGCGTGATGGCGGGGCGGAACGGGGCGATGAAGAGCGGGGCGTCCAGCAGGCCCTCCAGCATGGTGTGGTTCTCCAGCACGGTGGTGAAGAGCAGCCTGCCGCCGGGGCGGAGCAACAACTTGGCGGTCTGCACGTACGCCGTCCAGACGTCCTCCGTGATGAAGGGCGGGTCGGCCAGGACGTAGTCAAAGGCGGCGAGGTACTGCACCGGCACCTGCTCCGGCCTGTGGAAGTCGTAGCGCACGAAGCCCGGGTCCGCCTCCCACTGCCGGTCAAACTCAAACAGGCGGCTGTCGGCAGCCAGGGCGGCCGCTGTCGCGGTGCCGTCCTCGCCGGCCGGGTCACGCAACAGGGCGAAGTAAAGCGACGGGGTCGACAAGAACGCGCACGCCGTCGCGTGGTGCCGCACCTCCGCAACGATGGCACTGATGGTGTGCGGCGAGTACCAGTACTGATTGAGCTCCGCCTTCTCCTCGTCGATGCGGAACTGCACGTCATTCCCTGTTTGCATCTCTCCTCCTCTCTCTTTGCGTGTGTGGGGGTTTGAGCGTCAGCGCTGGTTATCAGTGGCGCCGGTGTCGTGTGGCCCACTGCTGCCGCGGTCCCTCCCTCTCCTGCGCGATGGCACTCGTAATGGCTAACACTGCAAACGGGCGGAAGAAGAAGCCGAGGCACCGTGCGTGCGGGCACACAGACACACAGGCAGAGAGAGAGAGAGAAAGCCGGCAGTAGTTATTGCCGGCGTCTGCGTGCGGGGAGGGGAGAAGGCGGAGTTCAGCAGCAATGCGGGCATCACAGGCGCCCCCCTCCCACCACCACCGCCACCAACAAAGAGATGAAAAGAAATAAGAAGGCGAGAAACGAAGGCTTCTAATGCGTGACTCTCGCAGCACGCCCATGCCTCCCCAGGCAGGACTTGAACGCCGCGGAGCGCGATCCGCGCGAAACAGAGGCTGCAAATGAAATGTACTCTAAAAAAAAAAGGTGACGACTGCGGCCGTGCACGCGCGGGCATACACAAAACACGCAAGCAGGCAACCACCCAGCAAGCACCTAAAAAGTAGAAGGGAGAAAACAAAACAACGACAAAAAAAAGCCAACAGATCGGTTTGTATTCATCTCTTTTTCTCTCTCTCCACCGGGCATCGCGTCTAGGCTCAAAGAAGGAACACGGTGACGCCACGGGCCGCTTGCGTGGACGGGGCACCTTCTACTCCACGTATGTGTGTGTGTGTGTGTGTGTGTGTGTGTGTGTGTCAGCACCCGCCCCAGCTCTGCAAAGCGGCGGAGGATGAGTGCATGACAGCAGGAAATGCACCCACACGCACCTGCCTTCTTGTTGCTTGGGCGGGGAAGGCCTCTCCCCTCTCTTCCCTCAAACCCGCTTTCTAGTTCAACTCGACGAGGCTGGCGGCAAACGCACTGTAGTCAATGCGGGTGTCTAGCCGCGGCGGCGGGGGCGGCAGATGCCCCAGTGGGCTCAGCTGCAGTCGCACCCGCGGAAAGCATGTCGCAAACGCATGCGTGGGGCTTGTGCTGCTGCTGCCGCCGCCGCCGCGCTCTCCATCGGCGTCCGCGTTTCCCACGATGCCAAAGCGGGTCGCCGCGTGGCACGCCCCGAAGCGCTCACGGAAGCAGCGCCAGAGGCCCATGCAAAACTCCATTGCAGCCTCCTCCGCGGCACGCGCCTCCTGCTGCACCGCCGGCGCGACACAATACACCGGGGAGGGCGAGGCAAGACCCCACGAAAGATTGGCCGACCCCGCGCTGCAGCGCGCCGGCGTGGTGTCCGCAGCGGGGTCGTTAAACAGCACCTGCCGCACCACACGGGCCACGATGGCCATTGGGAGGATGCCCGCATCGGCGTGATCGTGGCCGCGCAGCCGGCGCAGAATACAACCCGCATGCGCTGCCAGTTCGCGTCGCAGCTCGACGCCCTCCGTCGGCCTCCACAAGCTGCTGCCGGCGCCGTCGCCGCTTGGGCGTGGCGAGGATCGACCAGTGGTCAGTCGCGGCGACTCAGGGACCCAGTTGCCGTCCTCGCCGCCAGTGCTGCCGCCGCGCTTCTCGCAGGAGGCGCAGCGGTGAGCGTGGAGGGCGGCGACAATCCGCTCGCTCGCCCGCCGCACCTCCTCCCGCGCGGACTCAATCAACGCCCTCAACTCCTCACTTGGGCGTGCGCAGGACGTCGGCACCACCAAACTCGCGTCACTCGCGCCACAGCAGTCGCCTGCCGCCGTGGCCGTCGCGTTGCGGGAATTGCGCTCGCGCGAAGTGGCACCGTCGGCCTCGCCACTTCCGGCCCTTCCGCCTCCCTGCGATTTCCCGGCGTCGTCGCCGTCGCCAGCGGAGGTTGCCTCGCCAAAGAGAGTCACAGGCGCCACGGCGGCGTCGCTGCAGCGGACGTCGAACACCATCGAAACGCGGGATTCGCTTTCGGCGGCAGCGGCAGCAGCAGCAGCAGCAGCAGGAGGAGGAGTGGGGGTAGGAGCAAAGCGCCTGCGCCACGGGGTTGGGGTGGGACCGTCCACAAGCACCATCGACGCCACACCGTCGGCGCTGGGGACGGACGGCCGCACCGTGACGGCGGACGCGGCGTCCCCCTCGCGCCCTATCGCCTCCGCGAGGGTCGCGGGCCACGGCGGAGGCGCCTCCGTCTTGGAGCGCTTCGCCGCAGCCGCCACATCGTCCTCCCGCGTCGCCGGCGCCCCCGTGCGAGTCCAAGCCGTAGCGCTGCAGGAAGAGCCCCTGCCGCAGAGAATAAAGGACGTCGTCGATGGCGAGGGTGGGGCCGATCGCTCGCGTTTCCCGCGGCCCGAATGCATCGCTGGCGGCCCCTGACCCTGGCGAGCGCCTGCAGCAGCCACGGGAGCGGCCTCTACCGCGTGGGGGATGGGGGCTGCGGCCAGCAGCAGGCTCCTTCTGCCCCCTGCAACAAGCCCCTCCCGCTCCTCCGCAGCCACGGCTCCCGCAGCAGGGGCGTCGTGCAGGACAACCCACGGCCGCCCGGACGACGACGACGACGACGACGACGGCGGCGGTGGTGGTAGTAGTGGCGATGTCGTCGGCGTTGAGGCGCGGAGGCCAGTGGCGGTGCTGGCGCCGCCCTCCTCCTCCGCGCACGCCTCCTCGGAGAGACGGAGGTTGGGGAAATTCGACGGCAGGATGGCCGGCCGCGGCCGCGGCGACGGCGACGCCGGGCGGCTCTCCGACTGCCGCCGCGAGGTGAGTGCGCTGGCGAACGAGAACGAGACCCAGCGGCTGCTCGGGTCCAAACTCTCCGCCTCCGCTTCCTCCGCTCCCGTCGCGGTGGCACCGCCCACAACCGGCGCGAAACTCCAGACGCAGTCAACATCATCCTCGTCGTTTAACTCCGGCGGGGCGGCCGCGGCGACGGTTGGCGTCAGCGGCCTCCGCGGGGGCGCCGCTCGCGGTCGCGGCTGCACCGGCGACGTCGGCGCCGTACGCACTGCGCCCACCACCCCCCGGCGGCCGCGCAGGCAGCGAGTCCGCTTCGCATTCCCCGCCGCGTTGGCGTCGCGGCATCTCAGCGGCGTGGGAGGCGGCGGCGCGGGAGGGAGGGGCGCCAGCCGCAGCGACGGACGCCCCCGCAGCTGCTGGATGCTCACCGTCGACGCCTCGTCGCGGTAAATCTCATCCACGTCCATGCGGTGGCGCAAAAAGGAGGGGGGGGGTGGGGGAAAAAAGTGCCCGCGTGCGACAGCCCTTGTCCTCGCCACGCCAGTCCCTCCGTCAGTGATGTGTCTACTGTCGCCTCGCAGCCGGCACGAGCCGAACCTCCGCTCGTGAAAGACAACCGCGCGGGGTGGAGTGGGAGAAGCCGCAACGGAGCGTCGGTCTATTTGTGTGTGTATTTATCTAGGGGAGGCTGAAACGGATCCGCGGCAGGCGCCACACTCTACTCCGCACACGCACACGCCTCTAGCCGTTCCTTGCACACAGACACGCACACACACACACAATGCAGAAGAGGAGGAGAAGGAGAAGGGGGGCTGGGCGTCGGAGGGGGCGGAGCAGCGACGACGACGACGCCGATGGCCCTCGGCCCATCGCCAGTCCAGCAAGTGAAGAAACAACTGAGCATGTGCCGAGGAGAAAGTTGTGTTCGGTAGCAATAGTAAATGACGGCAATGAGGCAGGCGTGGGAGAAAGCAAAGGAGAGAGGAGGAGAAAAAAAAAACAAGTAAAGGGGTTGTGGAAGCAGCACCACCCACGCGTCGCTGGCGACGGGGCGGTCTTGCCGTCACCCCGCGCCACAGCAGCGGCGGCTGCCCGTGCGCCCGCTGCACCGCCAGCAGACCCTCCACGCGCGCAACTTCGTCCAGCAGCCCCACGAGCCGGGCAGTGAAGACAGCGTCGTTCCGCAGCGTGTGGTCCGTGGAGAAGCAGCGGTGCGCCAGCTCGGCGCGGTCGGCCTCACGCTCCGCCTCCGCGTCGGTTGTGTACATCGACGACGGCCGCGAGGAGGCGGCGGAGGACGGCAACGACGACGTTCTCGACGCATCACGGCAGAGCGCCATGTTCCGCTGCGCGTGGCGCAGGGCGTGGCTGTGGGAGCCCACAATGAGCTTCACAATGTCCAGGTTCCTAAAGTGTCCCGCGACTTGCTTCAGCTTCACGACCAGGACGCTCGCCAGCGGCCCCGACTTGGCGTAGAACTGCAGCGCCACCACAAACAGTTCCGTCATAGTCGTCCCGCCACCACCAGCCGCCGCAGCTGCGGCACGACTCCTCGCGCTGCCCGTCCACGTCCCCACCCTGCGTGTCCAGCCCGTGATGCAGATGGACTGCGTCTCGTTGAGCAGCGGCCGCTCGTCCACCACGACGTCTATCCGCGCCGAGGGCTGGCCCCGCGGCGCACAAAAGCCTGCAAGGGAGTGGAATTCGTCGTCCTCCGCCTCATCGCCGCCGCATGCCGGGGGCGGTGTTGCAGGCTTGGCCTCGCCGCTCGCCTCCATGGGCGGCTGCCATGCCGCTGCAGGTGCGCCCCGAACTCAGGGCTCTCCATCACAACAGCGCCGCCGCCGCCACGGTGCTTCAGCACGAAAAGTGAGCCACTACTCGTCAGCAGCACCGCACGCGGGGCAACGCGTGTCGCCAGCGTCTCACGCACCCCTCGGCTGGGGCTGCCGTGCGTGCCCTGCGGGGCGGGCAGCAGTTGCCGGCAGCGGGCCGCGAGGAGAGGCTGCAGGGACTCCGCGGACCGGCGGTCCACGCCGAGCAGCTTCACAAACGCCTCGCTGAGCTCCACCGGCCGCAGCGGGACGGGGGGGGGGGGGCCTCGTCGTGCTGCGCCATTGCGGAGGCCGCCCTCCTCCGCCGCGCCGCCCCGTTTGCCTTTCGCCCCCCGCGGCTTCTTCTTTTTTTCTTGTTTTTTCCCGCCCCCAACACACGCACACACGCACGCAGAGGCAGGCCAGACGCTTCGTGCGAGCCGCCCGCCGCAAGAAGAAGTGATACAAAAAAAAGACGAAAGTGGGGGGGAGGGAAAACGCATCGCGCGCAGGGGAGAAACAAAGAGACAGCGACAGAGAGAAAGCGGGAGTGAGTGGGACAGAAGGGCGAAGTGAAACAAAATGAAGAGGACAGACAGACGCGACGGAACTCGCAGCCACCCTTGTCGGCGGTCAGGAGGCGGGAAGAGGCGCGCGGCACACGCACGCACGCACGCACACAGAGAGAGAGAGAGAGAGACAGAAGCGTGTGTGTGTGCGTGACATCGCGGGCAGGGGAAAAGAGAGAAAGAGAGAAAAGTAAAGGAAACAAAAAAAAATGAAGAAATGCCCTTCGGTTCCAGCGAGAGGCTTTCGCCCAACAAAGGCAGCGGAAGCAGAAGCATCAGAAGAGAGAAACCAGGCAGGCAGAATCACAAAAACAAAAACAAAAACAAAAACATGTCCCTATGGAGGAAAGGAGGGTGTTACATCGTACAGGATTCCGCACAAGCTCCGGTTCCGTGAATTGACCCCCCGCTTTTCCCTTCTGTACATCCGAGATGAACTCCATAATCGTTTTCCTCGTGGAGAAAGGCGGCCCCGAAGAAAGAAAGAAAGAAAAGGAGTGGAAAGGAAGAAGAGTAAACATATACATATGTATATAGTAGGGAAGGCGGGGGG